CGCCATAGCGCAATTTTGTACTAGTGTAACTTTACTAATTCAAACTAAACACGCTCTTAGATTGTATTGAAAAACAGTATTAAGTTTTGTACAAGCTTCTCAACAATGTTCATTTCTTCTCATATGCTCGGAAGTGTGAAAACATGTAATATATGTTCTACAATAAGAATACCTATTGTTTGTTACCAATCATTAACTTTATAGAATGATTTGGTGCCATAAAAGTTAATTAACTACACAAGAATTCAATTCATATAAGTGTCCAATCAAACACAAATCAAATTCAAGGAATCTAGTTTAAACAAGAACATAATCACTAGAATAGAATCATAAATCAAGTATCAAGTAATATACTTTAAGTCAAGCAATCAACACGTTTTGAACAAAAACTAGAAATTAGTGTTTCTTAGCCACACATGGCGAAGAAAAAATCAATAAAAAAGAAAGATGGAATTGGAAATGTTTAATGCTTACAAATGGAAATCAAAAGTGTTTTTTAATGATTAAACATCTTCAAGAACTCCCAAAAATCTCCCAAAATCGCCAGAAGTTGCTTCACAAACTGTTCCTGGTGAAAAATGGAGATTTTCACCAATTTTATTAACTGCTCATGTGTCATGCGTTTTTAGCATGACCATGTGTTTTGACTATGTGTTTTTAGCAAGTCCATGTGTTTTGACCATGTATTTTTTAGCATGGCCATGCTTTTTCGCAAAAACTCTAATAAGTCTACAAACTTTGTTCAGTCTTCGGTCTAGCTTCACCCCAAGTCATTTTGCTCAAATATAAGATGAAAAGGACAAATGCGACATGTGTCGGTGTGACACGGACCGTGCTTCAAACGTGGTCCTTTTCTATGAAGAAATGCAACTATTCGGGTTGTGTCTTCAAGTTATCTAGCGCTACACGATTGGTCCATCTTCTCTTCATGCTCCAAGCTCCATCATCCAAGCTCCATGCTCGCCTCCATACTTCCAATGTTCCAAGCCTCATGCTCCTTGCTCGCCTTCATACTTCCAAGCTCCATAATTCCTAAAAAATAAACCAAAAATAGTGAAGTACCAGGCATTTCGAATAAAATATGCAAGTGCCCAAATAGTTAACTAAATGCAAGAGTTATGAAGTAAAATGCAATGAAATGACTGAACTAGACGTGCAAAATAGGTGCATAAAATGCACCTATCAAACGTCCCCAAGCTTAGACCTTTATTGTCCTCAAGAAAGAGCAAAATGAAGAACAACCCTAAAGAAGACCATAGGTGAATAAAAGGAAAATATGACAAAAAAAATGGAAAGAACCTAGAAGGCACTAAGATCGAATCCATGTAAGGAAAAACATCAGAAATAACATATGTACAAAAGGAAAAAAAAACTAAGAAAAATAAGATTAACAAAGCTTAAAAAAAATTGTTTTTGATCCAAACTTCATAATTTCATTTTTTTTATCACCCGGGGTGTGAAAGTCAATTACCAATTATCCAAACACAAAATATTATCCATTTATTGTTATCACTTCAGAAAAGTCTCAACATAGTCAAACTTTGGATGTTGTCCTTTAAAGGACAATCATGGGACCGGAGTACAAAATGAGAGGGTCATGAGACTTCATGTGAAATTCACTGGTTTTGAAAATGTAGACAACCCCGATGTCAAGTTGCTTTATTTGGTAGGGTATCATATTTTTAAATATGGACCGCTTCTAAAATTCCCTCAGTGTACTCAAGGTTAAACCAACCTTGCATTCCATCCCAGTGCTCACTGTCCATCTTAGGGGTGAGCATTTGGATATGTGGACCGGAGCGGACCGGACCGTTATTTTGGACCCCCAGGCCGGTTCTCGGTTCTACGATTTAAGGGCGGTCCGGTCCGGTTTTTTTACCGGTCCGGTTCGGCCAGTTCCGGGTAAAAACTGGTTGGACCGACTTATTTATAAAAAAAAAGTTAAAATTTTAAACAAGCATAGCTCATTCGTTTTAAGTCGGATTGGTATGCGGTTTTTTTCAACGTGTAATTTAGAGTTTGTAGATAATTTTAGACTATAATTTTGTTGTTTTTCATGTTATATTCAATGAGTTACAGTCGATCAAAGTTGGGATATCAAAGCTAAAATATTTTTGCTCTTCAGCAATAAATTAATTTTTTGTATTCTGTAAAATTGTTTAAATAAGCATATCTCATTCGTTTCAAGTCGGATTGACATTCAGTTTTTTCCAACATGTAATTTAGAGATTGTAGATGATGTTAGACTATAATTTTGATGTTTTTGGTGTTATATTCAATGAGTTACAATCAATCAAAGTTGGGATATCAAAGCTGAAATATTTCAGTTTTTCAGCAATAAATTAAAATTTTTGTATTCTGTAAAATTATTTAAACAAGCATATCTCTTTCGTTTTTAGTCAGATTGACATGCAGTTTTTTTCAGCGTGTAACTTAGAGTTTGTAGATGATTTTAGAATATAATTTTGTTGTTTTTGATCTTATATTCAATGAGTTACAA